CTCCTGTAGTTCCTGATGAACGAGTTCAGGGACTTCACTTTCCTCAGGAAGTCTGGGAAGAACTGCAATGATGTACACACGCGCCTGATGACACGATCCATCGTATGCCGCCAACCTGGCGCCAGAAGACACCGAGGCATAAGGTTGGAGAGCTGCATCGCTCTCGCTGGGATGTGTCCGCCGATTGTCCTGAAGGACCGTGGCAGCATGTCCTCGTGGTCCGCCAGCAGCCGCTCAACTCCGAAATCTACCGTGAGGGACCTCACGCGACTTAGAAACGTTCGGACGTCCTCGAAGCGCGGCCCAGCCAGCAAGAACACCTGCCAGAGAAGAGCAAACACTTTCCCAAGCGTTGTGAACATTGCCATGCCGATGTTAATCATTGGGAACAACCGCCTCTCCAAGGTAAACGCGCCGCTGCCACCAGGGTCACGCAATATTAGATCGAACGACGATGCGAACAGCTCCACCCCAGCCCACTGCGGCGACCCATCGCTGTGCAGATGGATGTTATAATCATGATTCGCGAATGCTCTGAACCGCCCCCTGCACAAAGACATGGCCATGCAGTCGAGCCGTATGCGCCCGAACCTCAGCACATTGTATCCAACTGTCTCCTCCAATGGCACGGCATCAAGTTGCCTGGCACGGCTGATTAGCACATTCCATTTCTTGCATGCTGCATCTTTCATTCGAATCTGTTTGAGGTCCCGCGTCGCATCGATCCAATCAAGAATTACATTGAACGGCTTGCTCTGGGAGTGGGGCTCGACAAGTGATGATGAGTTCACGAGTGAAGCCTCCAGCCGTGCACAGTCGAACGGTCCGAATCTGCTCATGAGACGCCTGACCTGCCATGCCGAAGGTAAATCGCCCAACACGTGCCTCCGAGAAAGTCGCCAACCGAGCACCACGGCATGAAAGAACGTAATATTTGCAACTGTCGCCAACGCCATGTGCAGACCGAGCTCGACAACCACCACTGGTAATGTTTTGCCGCCGTTGATCTCTCCACGCCAACGGCGAAATACGATAATGAATTGCTCTGGCCAGTCGTCGGGGTCGTCACCTTCGACTCCGAGGTTCCCAGAGATCTCAGAAAACAGCTGAACCACATCTTGACCGTTATAATCTGCAATGTCATGGAAGGAAAAACGCACGGTCACACGATAACATAGCAAGAGGAATTGGTGTCCCCTTCCGCGTCTAATGGCTGAGTATAGCATCCTGGACTCCTCCGTCGAAAGATCACGCGGGAACTCTGGAACGTGCATCCACTGACCCAGCACAGCCCCTACAACATGAGGCTTCGTTATTGGAGCTCCCATCGCGTCGATCTCATCTTTTCGAAATAACCTACTCCACATCCCACCAGGGGTGGCAACAATCAGATAACGCACAAGCGGCCCACAGGCGATGCGCTCTGTCACTGGAGGCGGGCATGCTGCGACAGAGTCTGGCCCATCCACATCACTGTCTGTGTGAAGCTCTGCAGGCCGAACGGAGTCCCCATCAATGGACATCAAAACAACTTCATTGAGTGTGTGGGAAAAAAAGCCGACCTGCTATGTATTGTTTGGCGGTGTTGGATATGTATCTCAAGGTTGTTGGATCCCTTGAAGGCTCTCCGAATCTCTCGTGGCCAGGGCTCGAATAATCTCGAAATCCTGATCAGAACGCACCTCTGGCAGGGTTTTCGACGCACGACAAAGACCCCTCCCCAGAGTGCCTCGTGACGGCCTTGCCTAGCCCCATTGGGAGGTCCTTCGGTGCCTTTTTGTTTCCCAGACACGTTTCCCCCAAGACCTCCTAACAGCCCCTGAGGAGCCCTTTGAGTCCCCAGACAAGCCCCATGAGAATGCCTCGGGGGCCTCTTGGGCCACCAGCCGCGCGCTTATAATCCACTGAGCAGCATGGCTCTTCAGGCGCGTTGAAGTTGTATGCTACCCTATTCTAGCCTATACCCTGACAGGCACTCTTCTTTCCTCCTACAAATGAGACCTAATATTTCCCCAAACTATTATGACCTACTCCTACTAAGTCCTACGTTACGCCTAATCTACGCTACTCATCTACTGTGTGCTACTTTACCCCGTTCCGCTGCATCACCCCCCATATGCATTCTACAATGCTCTACCCCCGCTCCGCGCTGAAATTCGGAGTCAGCTCTCCGACAACCCTATCAAGCGACTCTGCGCCCGTCGCACGATCATGTTTGGGCGCCGTCGCTCGCGCCGTTGTTGCGGCGAAACGCATCGGCGCGCTCTGGTAAATCGCAGGGGCCGCTAGCACGGCCTGAGCTTCTGCAGAGCACGATCGCACGCGGCGCTCCATGGCGCAAGCGCGACGCGTCCGCGCCATTTCGACCGCAACGCAACAACGACACGCAACGCGCAACGCATGCGATGTTTCTGGGCGACGCGCGAAGCGTCATAAAAGTTTCGATTTTGCTGTAGTCGCGCATAGTCGTCTGCGACAGCGTTTGTATGAGGAACACAAGTTTGTGGTCAGTGTTTCTAGGTGGCCCCACGCTTGTGCCGTAAACTCGTGCCTCCCCAGCGACGACCTCGCAGGTCCACAGCTCGACGGCCAGCTGCTGGCGGCCCCGGCTCCGCCGACTTCGGGAATTTGAAAAACATGCATTGTGGTTGCGCCGCTCGAAGTGCGCAGTCGCAAGGTCCAGCGGGATCGGAAGGACGTCCCGCTGGACCACCATGATCGGGAAGGTGAAGGGAGCGTCAGCCCCCCTCCCCGCCAGCAGTAGCACCTCCACGGCCCTTTCCCTTAGGGTCCGCCCTGGGTGCAGCCGCCAGCTGCTTCTTCAACTTCTCAATCTCCGACTTCTGGCGATCAACGGTGCTCTGCATCCCTGAGAGGCGCGCCTTGCCGTCACCGCCGCCACCGCCGCCGTGTCCGTCATCGCCCCGCGAGGCCATCCGCTCCTCCTTCAGCTTCCGCCGCTCCTTGGGAACGAGGCTCTCCTTGTGGAGCTCATCCGTCACGAACGTGAGCAGCTTCGGCGAGATGCAGACCAGCCCGCGGGCCTCGCCCGTCCCGAGGTACAAGTGCGAGTCCTCGAGCAGCTCGTCACCTCGAGAGGTCGTGAGAACCCTCTCGCGATGGCGGTACTCGGCCATCTGGAGTCGACGACACACCAGTTCTGCACACGACAGCTCGCTGGCATTGAGCTGGCCGTAGGTCAGCAGCAGATGCATGATGCGGCAGCAGAGCTCGTGGACGGAGACGTCCTGGTCCGACGACGACAGCCCCGTCTCGGCTTTGAACTTGGCGCGCCGAGACCTGAAGGTGACGTCATTCTCCCGCACGAACTCGCACACCCACTTCACGGTGCGGGGCCCGTTGATCGGGAAGAACTCCCACTGCGTCTCGGTGAGCTCCGCCACGGCCTCACGCATCCCGAGGAAGCGCTCCGTGGCGTTGGCCCGCAGCGCGAGGACGCGCGCGTCGAGCTCGTCCCCGCCGTCGGGAGGAAGAGCCCGCACCAGCATCGCGCGGCCCCCCTTCATCGCCATGCCGAACCCCGACGCGATCACGAAGGCGTCCAGGTCCTCGTCGGGCAGCAAGCCCTTCCCCCCGCCGTCGCTCGAGGCGATGCATCGCCAACGCGACGGCGAAGGGTCTGGGAGGCGCCCGCGGCCAGAGCCCCACTCAGTCGGAATCTCCGCCGAGGCCAAGGCCGATCCTGAAGGCGCTCTCGCCGCCGCTGGCCTCGCCTCCGCCTCGGGCTCCTCGGGGGCTCCAGCCGCCGCCGCCGCCGTCTCCAGCACCTCGTCGAGCGACTGCCCCAACGCGAAGCGCAACTGGAGCGCGAAGGCCGCGGGGCTCATCACCCAGTCCCTGCCGTACGTGCCGACGCCCACGGGGTTGGCCCCCTCTCGGTTGACCAGCTGCCTCCGATCCCTCATATCGTACGGCACGATGATACGCAACGCCTGGGCCGTCAGCTCGTGCGGGTAGACGTCTCCGTCGGGCGTCGCCATATACCACAACCTCCCGTCCTCCTCGGCCTTCTCGCTCGGATCCAGACTCGTCACTTCCTGATAGTCGGTCGGTGTGCACGGCGCGATCGCGATGCGGGCCTGCATGCTCTCGCCGCCGCGCCACTGGATATCGAACCGCTGCCCTGCTCGAACTTGGAACGGCATAGCGTCCGACGAAGACGCCGAGGAAGAAGGACGCGATGGAGAGCAGGGCCGCTCCCCACTTCAGCGAGCCGACGAGCCCGTACGCGACCGCACACTCGGTCGCGTTGCCGAGGGTGCTCTCCACGAGGCCCCAAGCCTTGTCGGAGACAATCCAGGCGCCGACGCGGGCGAGGCCACCAGCCACGGAGGACAGAGGCATGAAGCGGCCGCTTTCTCTGTTTGCGCTTGAATTGTTGCGGAGCAAGAACGGCCACGGAACGGATCAGCACCAGACCAGGACGATACAAACATCTGACTATGATGATGATGATGATGATGATGATGATGATGATGCTGATGCTGCTGCTGATGATGATGATGATGATGATGATGGTAATGGTGATGGTGATGATGCGGAGGATGATGATGATGATTATGATGATGATGCTGATGATGATGAGGAGGATGACAATGATGATGATGGTGGCGATAACGGCGATGATGATGGTGATGATGGTGATGATGACGATGATGACGATGATGAGGACGACGATGATGACGATGACGATGACGACGATGATGGTGATGATGATGACGATGATGATGATGACGGGAGGAGGGAGGAGGGGGGATGAGGAGGAGAGGAGAGGAGACGCGGGGCACCGTCTCTTCAAAACGAGGACCCAACACCACAGGATGGTTGGGAATAAAATATTCCCCTGACTATTTTTGAACTATTCTTGACTTTTCCTCCTGTAGAGGGACACGCCCGACTTAAGACTGGGCCGTCATGAAAAAGACGAGACCCAATCTGGAATTTGGCGCAAACTCCCGCTGCAAACACCCCTCGGAAACGAACTGTCAAAATCAAAGGCGGGCTCGTCAGAACAGCGTAGGGGCGAGCCCGAGTTCCGGCACACTCGAGTCTTACGATTCCCCGACCAGGCGGCCATGCGCGGGCCGTGTGCAGGGAGCCGCGCTGAGCATCGTTTGTCCGACCCCCATCCCCAGCGGCGTGGCCTGGGCCCCACTGGCCGATTTACCCCCCTAGATGGGGATGCAGGCCGTTCTCTTCGGATTTCGAGGGGCGTATCCCCAACTGGGGTGGTAATTTGGTGGGGGCCTCGAAGGGGATGAGGATGGGGATGGGGGTCGATTGAACGAGACTGACGCGCGGCGAAACTCCAGCAGGCACGGCCCCTCGAGTAGCAGCGCCCGGGCTCCTGTGCGCCCAGGCCGCAGCTGCGCGGGCCGTGTGCAGGGAGCCGCGCGGCGAGACTCCCGCAGGCGCAGCCCCGCGAGCAGCGCCCGAGCTCTCGCACTGCGCCCAGGCAGCATGCGCAGGCCTGGCCCCCCTGCCCTGCACGGCTTACCCCGGGGCCGTGGGCGACCCGAGGAGGAGGAGGAGGAGGAGGAGGGGGAGGAGGAGGAGGAGGAGGAGGAGGCACACGAACCGAGCAGGGGTGAGGGACGCGGCCTGGCAGACAAAGGGGGAGCGCATGCCGCAGGAGTCAGGAGGCAACTACTGGGAGGTCTTCGTCCGAAAGCTGTGGAACAATTGAGCCCCTGTGGGGGGCTGGTGCGCCATATTAGGCCGCGGATTCAGCGAGATCAAGTGGGATTCAACCCAATTAAGCGGGATCAGGCGGGATAAAGCCCGATTTCGGACCAAGGAAGAAGCAGAATTTGACCTCCAAGTAGTTGCATCCGAACGGGATGGCCCGATCCCTCGCCACTGTGATTCGCATCTTCTGGGCCCTGAGAACCCCGTGTACTGACGGACCGCGTGGTGACATCGGAGTCCCCGACGCCCTCACCGCGCAGTCCGTCACCATACGGTCGTGGGACCTAGGAGGCCCCAGTCGCCCGAGGCATCCTCGGAGAACGGCCCGAGTCCCAAAACTGCGTGGTGACCCCGAATCCCCACTAACTCACCACGTGGTGCGGTCACCACACCGTTCGGGCCCCCCCCGAACATCGGCCTCCCCCTCTGCCGAGATTTGCGCCGAAGCGGCCGTGTGCAGATAGCCTGCGCCTTCGCCTTACAATGAGAATTCGGCTGCACGTCGTGCAAGGCAACTCACGGCGCCCTAGGTATTTGTTGCCGGGGGCACCGTGGCACCACCCAAGGTGGACCGTGGAGCGAGAAGGCTCTGCCGCGCTCCCTTTGGCACGGCGCTGCCCCTCAAAAACACCATCATCGGAAGAGAATCCTGGAAACATCGCGCGGCAACTCGAGATCCAATGTATGTCGGATTCACGTCGGACCATCTCCGAGCGAACGTCGTCCCACATACGACGGGGCGGACGTGGACTGAACAATTTGTCTAGTGCCGCGAGGAGGGCTTCAGGACTTTCCTCTTGGAGCACCCGATGGAACGGGCATGTGAGGGGCAACGTTGGGTGGAAACGGCTCAGAGGGGGACATGTCGAATTGAAATCCGCGATGCATCGCCGACACATCGGCGATAGGCTGAAGCCGGGCATGTCCTCCCACAGGTGGATTTTAGACGACAGATCAACCGATATCCAAAACATACTCAAAGTTATTCACTGCGTGGAGCTCCCCATATGTGCATCTACTCGCATGGACCTGTCCGCCGTGAATGTCTAGGCGCAAGAGCTTTCGAATATTAACGGGCTTCAGTTGTGACGGTCTGGACATCAATCTAACTGCGAATGAATTGGAGTGTGAATGAGCCTCAGTAGTACGAGCGCGTCTCTGTGCATGAGCCTGGGGCCTCCTGGGGCCTCCTGAAACCTACTGGGGCTTCCTGGGGTCTCCAGGAGCCTCTTGGGACCTCCTGGGACCTCCTAGGAAGGTTTCGTGCCCCAGGAGAGGCGCAATCTATAGCAACAGACGTACATAAAACATTGCGGATTAGAGCCACAGGAGAAGGGCAATCTATAGGAACACGCGTAAAACACCAAGGACTCGTGCCCCAGGAGAGGCCCAATATATAGGAACATGAGTAAAACATTTAGGATTGTGTACACAGGAGAAGGACCATCTATAGAAACATACGTAGAACATCAAAGAATCGTGCTCCAGGTGAGGCCCAATCGATAGGAGCATACGTAAAACACATGGGATTGGAGCCACTCCTGTTGCCTTCTGAGGCCTCCTGCTCCTGGGGCCTCTCGGGGCCTCCTGTTGCCTTCCGAGGCCTCCTGGCGCTTCCTGTTGCCTCCTGGGGCCTCCTGTGGTTTCCTGAGGCCTTCTGGAGCTTCCTGGGGCCTCCTGGAGCCTCTTGGGACATCCTGTGGCCTCTTGAATCTTTCTGTGGCCTCCTGATGCCTCCTGGGACCTCATGTGGTCTCCTGGGGCCTCCTGGAGCCTGTTGGAGCCTCCTGTGGCATCCTGAGAAGAATCTGCGCCCACGAGCCTGGCCACCAAAACAAGCAAACCGATCGAGACATCCTCAAAATCTGGCCCACCTGGGGGGTGAAAATGAGCGCCTCGCTCGAGACATCCTCCAAATCTGCTCCGAAAGCAATGGATGATGAGCCCAGAAACAAGCAAACCGCCTGAGACATCCCCACAAAATGGCCGCGAACGAGCCCGTGCAACCACCCTTGGCGGCTCCCCTTAGGGCCACGAGCCTGGCCACCAAAACAAGCAAACCGATCGAGACATCCTCAAAATCTGGCCCACCTGGGGGGTGAAAATGAGCGCCTCGCTCGAGACATTCTCCAAATCTGCTCCGAAAGCGAAGGATGTTGGGCCCAGAAACAAGCAAACCGCATGAGACATCCCCACAAAATGGCCGCGAACGAGCCCGTGCAAACACCCCTGGCGGCTCCCCTTAGGGGTGCTGAAACCAGCGCCCCGCCTGAGACATCCTCACAATCTGCTCTCCAAGCGAAGGATGTTGAGCCCAGAAACAAGCAAACTGGGTGTGAGTAAGTCTGTGTATGAGTAAGTCAGTGTATGAGTATGTCTGAGTGTGAGTAAGTCTGAGTATGAGTAGGTCTGAGTATGAGTAAGTCTGAGTATGCGTAAGTCTGTGTATGAGTAAGTCTGAGTATGAGCAAGTCTGAGTATGAATGAGTCCGACAGGAGGGGAGGAGGAAAGAGGAGGAGGAATGAGGAGAGGGAGTAGGAGGCGTCCAAGTAATAACAAGAACCCCATCTTAGGATATGGGGAAATAACCAACATCGTCCAAACATCGTCCCCCAACTATGTTGTACTAGTTTAGAATACTCCTCGTGCAAATGGGCATGCCCGACTTGATTTTAGGCCCCCGATTGCGAAGCCGCACGTCCCTGGGCGGGGTGGGGCCACCGGGCCCCTGTCGGGGAAGCGCGGGCGATTAAGGCCCGACGCATCCCTTCCCTGAACCCTATGTGGCAGATCGCGGGGGCCTCCCGTGCCATCTTGCTGGCTCTTGCGAGTCGACGCGAACCCGCACGATTCGAGGCTCGCCGGCGCAACTCGACAGTCAATCGACGCTAAATCGGCGCGTTCCCATTCATCCAACCATCCTTTTGGGCGACAGGGGGGGTCGCGAGGTGTCGGAGGCTACGTTTTCGGCCAGTGGGAGGGCCAATCTTTGGCACCCCTCACAGGCATCGTGGCCCCCGAAGGGGGGAGAAGATCGAGGACCCCCCCTCTTTTGACCGACCGCCTCCAAAATGGCCCCAAAAGGCCCCCCAGGGCTCCCAGAAGGCCTCCAAAACGGTCCCACGCCCAAGAGGGCTCCAACAGGCCCCCGAGAAGGCCACAAGAGGGCACCGAGTGGCCCCCGAGCTGCTTCAGAAGGCCCAAGATGACCTCCAAGATGGCTTAAGATAATCAAAGCTGGCCCAAGATGGCTTCCAAGCCCCAAAAGCCCCAAAACCGCTCAAAGACGGCTCAAGATGGTCACTGCGCCCCCCCAAGGGGGCCGCCAAGAGGCCAACGTCCAGATTGCCCCGGCACGCCGTGCAGGCCAGCCTCCCTCGCTGTTTGACTGCGCGTATATATTCCTCTCTCCCCCCGTCAGCTCTCACGGGCGTCGTTTCTGGATGGGTTGGCGGGGATACTTTGGCGGGGATATGTTTTTGATCGCGACCGCACCGGAAGCAGTCGGGCTGTGTCCCAGGGCGCAGCTAACTAAGCGGCGGCCTATATGACGCGATGGCGGGGATACTTTTTCGTTTGCGAGCGCCGCGGTCCGACCGCGCGCCGTCAAGAGATGAGACAGCCGCCCCACGCTCTAAATTACGGCCTAAGAGGGAACCAAAGCGACCGGAGCGCGCTACGAAATCGTTCAGGCGGCGGAGCCGGAGTAGCCCAGGAAGTCCGCCAGGCCGAGGAGGTCCAAGAAGCGGGCCTCGATGCACACCAAATTGGTGGGTGAATTGGGGCGTCAGTCTCAGGATGAAGAGCCAAGACAGCCGTCGTGCAGGTGCTCGCGATACGCGTAGCGAAGAAGCGAGCGGAAGGCGAAACGAAGGTCGCCGCCAGCTGACACCCGTCGTGAACGTCAATGCGCGTCGCTGCCAGCCGTCACGCATGTGGGGTGGAGGCCACACGTCGGCGGTCGCAAAACTCGTTGCCCGAGGGCGTCCACTAGCCAGTGCGCACTCGACGACGGGATAGCCCTCAGCGAACGTGCTGGTGGGGATACTTTTTAGTCAGCGGCCGCGGGCGAGCGCGCCGGCGGCGAGTCCAGTCAAAGCGGGCCACGCAGCGACGAATTAGACGAAAGCAGCGGAGACAAGCCACACCTAAAACGGCTAACCGGGACCTCGCGCGGCAACCCAGCGGCGGACCAGGTGGCGAGGGGCAGCTGAAACTGAGTCGCTGGTGGGGATACGCGAAGGGTCAAGAAATTACCAGACCCTAGTGCCCGCGAGTGTACTATATAGACGGAACTACGAGGACAAACAAGGCGCCCATGAGGAGCTACCGAAACCTGACCCCGTCCCTCACCTGACGTTGCCCCTGAGCACGGGGGAATGCCTTCTGTCGGCGGCGAGCCTTCTCACAAAGCTCTGAAGGCTCGGAAGGCCTCTGGCCTTCTGAGTTCAGAGGCCTCTTCCAGGACAGGGACGGCTTCTAAGAAAACGCGAGGGCTTCTGAGAAGCCCTGCCGCCTTCTGAGAAACTCTGTCGACTTCCCCCCACGGGCTCTGTGGAAACTGGAAGGTACCGATACCGCTGATCCCCGAACCTCTCCCGGGGCGCGTTCTGACCATAATTTCGAAGCGAATCCAGCGGCGGTGACCAGAGCCTCCCAGGAGGCCCAAAAAGGGGAAAACGAGATGAGGAAGGGTAGCGGTATGGGTACCGTTTCCTCCTCCGAGGCTCGCCGCCAGTCCTGCCGAGCCAGCAACGCAAAACGTAACCCATAGACTCCCCGACGACCGCATCCTCCTCGGCAAGGGCTCCGCCGGCGCAAAAGCGCGACGGCTGGTACGTCCACGCCAGAGACACCCGGGATGCCGAAGCGTGCAGCGCCGAATCACAACCTTGCAGAACAGAGGGGAGATCGAAGACAGTGTCGTGGGCTGCTACGGAAGGTTCGTGCGGCGTCGGCGAGTAAAACCTTTTGTCACTGCGTCGATCGTTCAACCTTGAACCGATCGCGGCACCGATCGTTCAAATTTGAATCCCTTCGGGTCCTGTGGCAATGCTGTGTCCTTCGGTGCTTCCGCGTCGCTATCGTGCGGAATTCAAACTTGAACGCCTTCGCTGGCGTCGCTGGCGCGCCATCGCCGCATGAACCTACCGTAAAGGTGCCTATGGCCAAAGGACCCCCCCCAAGTGTTCGGTCCAGTTGGGTGCCCCTGGGGCCCTCTGGAACTCGGGAGGGTGCTCTGGAGGCCATTGGGGCCTCTGGGGACACCCTGGGCCAGGGGCACTTCGAGTAACGCTGGACAGTGAGGAGTCGGGGAGACGTCAGACTCGAGTTTGGAGGTCTCGAATTGGCCTCACGGGGCCGTCGAACACATGGTGGCACCCAACCACCAACCCAGCCTGACATTTGACAAGAACTCCGGCTGCAAACATTCTTTGAACCCGACCGTCAAATTCAGGGTCCGTCCGTCAAAAAGCGTCGGCAAACCCGAGTTCCAGAAAACTAGAGTCCTAAGATTCCCCGAGAGAGGCCCTTGTTGCAAACCTTGTTAGGGTGAACACAGAAACCCAAGAAAGAGGGAGCGGAACAACCCGGACTGGCTGCACTGGCCACAAACAGAGTACAGAATGCCAGCGTGCGTCCTGCGGGGACCATCCTGGCCCCTCCTGAGCCCGACGTCGAGACGTGCGGCATGCGGCTCACCTCGCCGAGAGGACGCCGTTGTTGCACTCGGATCCCCTCGCGCCACAGATGCCGCCACAGCAGACGTCGCCCGCGTTGCAGCAGATGCCGCCACACTGCAGCGCCCCTCTCGGACGAAGACGCCGACCGTGCACGCAGGCCGATCCCGGCCAGGCCGGGCGCGCCCTGGGCCCGGGATCGGCGTGCCGGGTGCACGGCTGGCGGCCCCGGGCCTCGTGCGCAGCAGATCCCGTCGAAGCACTCGGAGCCCTTGCCGCAGCAGATCTCGGCGCCCGGGCTCCTGGCGCTGCCGCAGCACGTGGCGTCGGCGCCGCAGCACATCCCATTCTGGGCCGCCCCGCAGCAAGTCGAGTTCTTGGCACAGACCAGCTTCCCGCAGAGCGTCACGTTGGGCGTCAGCGACTCCAAAATGGCGTTGAACGTCTCCGTGTTCGCCTTGAGAGCATCGATCTCGCTGTACATCTTCTCAAGGAGCGCCTTGGTTGAATTGGCCGCTGCGGTCCCGGCGGGCGCCTCCAAACTTCTCAAGTCCAGGTCGTTGTCGCCTCTGGCCCGCATCTCGTGCAGACCCACCGCATCCGTGACGCCAGAGCGCATGGCGGGGATGGACGACCCCTGCGCCCGAAACTGCAACAGGGCGGCCACGCTGGTGCAGGCGAGGATGGTCGCGAGTCCGAGCATGGCCGCACTGCCGAGTCGACGTGGAGCCCGCGAGCTCGGCCGTGGCCTGCCCTGGGGCTGCTGAGATATGAGCTCCTGCTGTTCGCTGACGCCAGCCTCGGCCTCGGCCTCGGCCTCGGCCTCGGCGGCGGACATCGATGTCGTGCAGGCACAACTGTTGCGGCCTGCAAGCTGCGCAGGGGCTGACTACGGCTGCGAAGCAGGCTGGGCCAACATGGCTACGTATCAGCCTTCTCTGAACGGTCTGAAGATACCTGATTCAGATTGGGAAGTCGGGCTCAACTGGGTGGTCTGCGTTTGACCATGGGGCGCCAAATGGGATCTATATTGACCGATCCGGAGAGAATGTGGCTCCCTGGCTTCCACAACTTAGTGATGTATCACAATGCGACGCTTACCTCTGCGTAAGACATGAGTTTCACCTGACGCGCATTGTTGCCATTATGTTCGCATCCGCAAAACACGCCGTATATATATGTATATATATGTATGTATATATATATATTCTACCAGCTGAATGAGCACATCAGCGAGCATGCGCGCGTAGGGGAGCGTCTCCATCGAAGCGTTGGTTGTGGCTCAGGCCACACTTACCCCAAGCAATGCTTGCACTTTGGGGATCTTACTTCTGTCCTCGGGTAGCTTTGTCCCGGTGGCGGTCCGGCCGGCTCGTCGCAGTCCGTCGCCACTGGGCCCCAGTGGCTGCCTGGCCTGCTCGTCGCCGCACGTCGGCGCGTTGCTTTGCCCTGCTTTGCATTGCTTAGCAGGGCTGTGCATTGGTTCGCTTTGCTTTACACTTCTACTGCTTTGGTTTGCTTTGCGCTGCACTGCTTTAATTGGCTTTGCATTGCCTTGAATTGCGCTGCGTTGCGTTACATTGCGTTGCCTGGCTTCGCACTGCTTTACACTTTGTTCCATAGGTTTGCCTTGCATTGCCCTGCTTTGTCTCGTTTTGCCTTGGCTTGCATTGCTTTTACGCCACATAGACTGTACCACGTAGAGTGTACCATATTGCACCGGATTGCTTACAAGAAATCGCGATTCGGAGTCCATGCGGGCTAACATATGTTTTTGTAATATGCTTCTGCTGGTGTGTGCACATGGACCGCCGACCTCTTCGACGGGCACCCCGTGCTGATGCTACCCATGGCGAAAAAAAAGGAAACGAGAAACCCAAGGAACTGCTGGCCCTGCTCTACTTCGCCACAACCAACCGCGGAAGTGGGTTGAAACCCACGGATGACAATCCTCTGGATTCTGTGTGTTGGCATGCCACCTCGTTCAACTGGAAGTGTGACACATATCCCTTTTTATCAGTGCCGTGCTCCCGTTTTGCCAAACGGCCTACTATAGCATGCTTGCCAGCGCGGACCCCAAGGAGTAGATCGTTGCACTGTGATTGTGGGTGTGCAGGCTGTGATGCAAGCTACGTGGTCAGAGCTGTGAAGCGGAATGCTGTAATGCAACGTATGTGGCAGAACTTCGGAGAACCCCCCAGGTGGGCGGCAACGACGCGACCACAAGGCAGCACGGGCGGCGACGCGGCGAAACCTCGGCGGACCCTACATGAGGGCGTCAACGAGACGGCCACGGGTGGCGACGCGGCAAAACCTCTGAGGACCCCAAATGGGCGGGCGGCAACGATGCGGCCCCGAAGCGGCAACGGGCTGCGACGAGGCGCAACTCCGACGGACACAACCAAAACGTTGGCGGCAAGGAGGCGGCTACGGGCGGCGACGCGCGGCAACGATGCGGCCACAAGGCGGTCACGGGCTGCGACGCGGCGAAACCCCGCGGACCCCCCAAGTGGCCTGCATCGAAGAGGCCACGAAGCGGCCACGGGTGGCGACGCGGCGAAAACTCCAATTCCTTAGCGATGCAAGTAAGAGTCACTAGCCCCTCAGTGTAAGCACTGCTTGGGGGACAATCTGGTTTCCAACGCGGCTCACCCAAATACAACCAGGCCTTCTGGGCGTGCGTAGGCGGTTCAGCGAGCAGCCCCCGCGGATTACCATCCACCTACCTGCTCCCCTGCAGAGCACACGTGCCATACAAATGTACTTTCGAATGTCAACGGCGGCCGAAGCGCCGCCAGGGGCGAAAGGGCGAAAGGGGGGGGGGGCGCGCATTGTCGACCCAAGAAATCCGCGAGGACCCCCCGAAACTTACTATGTTTGTGGCGTGTGCTGCTCCTCCCGCCCATGGGGGCCACATCTTTGCAGATACTCACTTATATGATGAGTGCGGCCGCAGGCGCCCCTGAGTGGAGTGTCCTCAAGAGAATTCAACTCTCCACAGAAAACACACATTACAAAGCCTGGACCAAAACCCCGCGTGTGTTGGGTGTCTCGCAGACCTCTTGGGGAGGCTGGCCAAACAGAACGGAACCGTCCTGGAGCCCTCTTGGCACCTCTTGGGCAATCTTAGAGTCCCTGGGAGCTGGCCCAACAGGCGAAACCTTTCAAACCCTACAGTTGAAGGGTAATTAAAACATTACTGCGCTTCCCGCCTTTGAACAGCAACCGAAACGGCCCAAGAGGTCCCCAAGAAACGTCCTGAGCCTGAGAGGCTCCTAGGCCGGCGCCGCACGCGGACCAAGGGGGGGAGCACGATCTGTTAGCTTCGAGCCCTCCCCCAAGGTGGGATTTCTCTTTGACAAGCCGCGGAAGCGGCTTGTCGGTAGCGTCAGGGTAGGCGGGCTGTCGCCCGCCTGCCTCGTCGCACGCGAAGAGGCCGCAAGGTGGTGGAAAAGAGAGCGCGCCTCCGCCACGGCCAGCCCCACGTCCACGCCGTGCCGTGCCCCCCCCCCCCCCCCACCTCTCTCGGACCCCCTGGTCCCCATGGTTCCCAAGACCCTCCCCAGAGGACCGCGAGGCGCCTCCCAGAGGCCCCGAGGAAGCTTCCGAGAGGCGTCCCAGGGGAGCCCCCGGAAGCCGGAGAAGAGGCCAGGCCCTCCGAGAGGCATCTTCGAAGATCCTAAGTTGTATCGGCGGCGAGCGAGGGGGGAAGTGAGGCGGAGAAGACCATCTCAGAAGGCGGCGGGCCCTCTCAGAAGCCCTCGCGCCTTCTGAGAAGTGTTTCGCGTCTTTGGGGAAGGCTTAGCAGAGTTATCAGAATGCTGGGGAATCCGCGGCGGCGGGATAGACCAAAGATCACCGTAGGTATAGAGACACGCATACACACATGTGCATGGTCAATGCCGTACGACGCCTGCAAATCTACTGTATCAATACGGACATACATATGAATCTAGACATGTGTGCATGACCGACGAGTCAGAACACCCCACGCCACCGTTTCTCAATACGGGGTCCCTAAGTCCCAACACTTTTCCCAAGGCCAACTGTTCCATTCTCAGCCGTTGCTGCATACAGTGCCCAAGCCTGGATCCGGCCCCAAGACACCGAAAACTACGATAAGTTCCGTCGCTAGTTGTTCACCTGTCTGTGTTAATGCTGTTCCCATCGCACGTCAGGACCACATCCCAGAACTAATTTCGAGCACCCCGAGAAGTATCGAAACATTGTCTGCCCGACACGCTGGCGAATTGCCGAACGAGTATCGCCTCCCAGGGACCGACAAGTGAAAACCATCCAACTTCGGCACTTTCCTGGTGCTCGAAGTTCTTGGTGGCGATCAACATGAAAAAAGAAGGTCAGCACATCTGAAGTCTGCGTCACTCCCTGGCGCCGCACGGAGGATCCGCACGGACCGTCGAACAAAAGTGCATGCGCTCCCTTCTCTCGGCGCTGCCCCTGTACTTGCCCAGCGCGCGCACCCTGATTCCACTCAAAGCGTGGGCATTGCATGGAATGGTGCTTTGAAGGGGAGGGGGAGTCAGGAATCAGGGCCCCGTAGAAGAGGAGTTTGATAAACCAATACGCTGACGCACCCGACATCGATAATCTGATCGTCGCGAACTCAACGAATCTACGAACATGTGTGTTCCGCCTCAAACATCGTTACAAACATAATATGTTCGCCACGGTTCCGTGAAAAAAACAACACCTTGCTTGAGACATCCTCGAACAGTGATAGTAGCGAATCCCGTGAATGCGTGAGGGGTGTGCCGAAATGGGCCGAAACGAGGCGAAAGCACTCGTTGTGAAAACAAGTGAAGCGCCAGGACCTCCGGGGAACAAGTCTGGGGATGGCTGGTTTCCATTCCCCCCGACTTCGGATCCGCCGTACCCTGGTGGATGCTCCGTCTTCAATTGGCGTCGCACACAAGGGGGTAGGGTGGAGGGGGGAAGGCCTCTTAGAAGCAGGGGTGTTTCTAAGAAACCGTTCTCCCTCCCCCTACCCCCCTTCTGCGCGTGGCTGACTCAAATTGTGTCTGAAATGCAACCGAAACGATGCGAGAAGGTAAAGCCGAAATGTCAGCCTCAAACGAATAAGGCCGATATTCGCGCAAGACTGTGACGGAAACCGCGACGCCAACGTAACACGGAAATCGGCATCAAAAGAACCTCAGAAGTAGGGCGGACAAAACGACCGCCCTGCTTGCGAACATCGCCCAGATGTGCGGCGGGTACGGAATCAAGGTCTTCCCTGGAGGCCCACCCGACCAGCAAGGCCCTCCCTCGGGCACTGCTTCTTCGAAGCGGCGCGCCGGGAGGGAAGTGAGAAGGGGCGGGCCTTCTCAGAAGGCTCGGAAGTTCCCAGCCTTCTGAGAAGCTTTCTGAGCTTTCCCCCAGGGGCACAGAACACTTCTCACAAGGTCGGAAGTCTTCTGAGAAGCCCCGCCGCCTTCTGAGGAGGCCTTCTCCTTCTCACATACCCCTTGCTCGCCGCCGATCCTGGGGGAGGGGGGCGGGCAAAATAGCAGGGGGTTAAGCACGGTGCACCTTCCACGCTCCTTAGGGGCATCAGGATGCCCACTCGTGGCCTCTTTCCTGCACCCACCCCTGCCCAAACCATGCCATGTCTGGATTTGTTCGAGACAGGGCCCCCGGAACTCCAAACCCATTTCCCTGGACAGGCTCCTCATCCTGCGTGCATATATTTGACACATCCCGTCGTGACTCTAGGCGGCGCGCCCAGCGGGGACGTGAGAAGGGGAGGGCCTTCTCAAAAAGCTCGGAAGTTCCCTGGCCTGCGGGGAACTCTTCTAAGCCTTCCCCGAAAAGAACGAAAACCTCTCACAAGGCCTGAGGGCTTCTGAGAAGCCCCACCGCCTGATGAGAATGCCATGTCCTTCTGACATGCCCCCTCTCTCGCGGCCGAGATTCCCTTACGGCGCGGACGTGTCTGGGCACGGGTTGGCCGACTCGGGCGGCCCGGAGCGCGACGACGACGAGGACGAGAACGGCGACGAGGGCAGCGCCGAGTCTAGAGGCCTCCCAGATGAAGTCGGAGTAGATGGGGTCGGGGGACCGCGCCGCATCGCCGATGCATCGGCGACGTCGGCGGTGCATCGCCGATGTATCGCCGATGCGGCGGGGCAAATGGGAAAAGAGAAGGCCTTCCGAGGAGGCCCGGGCGGCCCTGCACCCTCCACCAAGATCGAGGTAGGAAGCGGAGGAGGAGGAGGAGGAGGAGGCAAATTAGACTCGGGCGGCACGCAGCGCGACGACGAGGACGACGAGGACGACGAGGACGGCGACGAGGCGCCCCGCCCCCTGGCGGCGGGGAGCGCGGCGCCGCCTCGCCGCCTCCGGGCGCCTGCTGGGCCAGCGCCGCCGCCCCGCCCGCCGCCACCGTGGGCTGCGGGGCGCGCCGCTCGTCAAGAAAAAGAGGCCGCGGAGGACCCGCCCCTCCCGCCTCCTACTCCCCCTCCTCCTCCTCCTCCTTCTCCTCCTTCATAACTTCTCCTTATAAATAACTCCTCCCTGTCGCACCCCGAGGCCAGTTTTAGGGCGGGCCGGGCGTTTCGCCTGAGACTTCTTCACCACTTATGACTCCGAAGCTTAAGCAATGACAATAGTTTCACAGATGGAGGGCGGGTGGTTTTCAAAATGTGGCTCTCGCCTGAGCGCCGCGCACATTCGTTTTCAAAATTTGCGAGGGTTTCACGGATTGAGGGCTGGTGGTTTTCAAAACGTGGCTCTCGCCTGAGCGCCGCGCACATTCGTTTTCAACATTTGCAAGACTTTCACGGATTCCCATGGTCAGCGTACCAGCAATTGCGTTTGGAAGGATTCAGGATTATGCGGGTGCAGCAGTTCTATTTGTTCGCGGTGTTGAAGTCCTAACAATGGCGAACTGGCACGATTCTAGATCGTCAAGACGCAGCAATCAAATTGATACGTGGCATTGAAATCCCGAGACCCATGTTTTGGCATGCTTCCGGATCCTCAAACGGTCCAAGGAGGCAGTTCCCGCAGTGGAAATGACCCTTTGTGAGGGCATATGAAGAGAGAACTTGGAGTGAGGGTTAATTCCAACATCGTTGATGACTCTGGATTTTACAATGGCCTTCTTCCTCCTCCTCTGTCACATCCTCCTCCTCCTCATCATCAGCATCATCATCATCATCCATGCCTTGTCCTTACAAATGATCTCTCCCTGTCGCACCCCAGGGCCTGTTTTTAGGGCGGGCTGGGCGTTTCGACTTAGACGTCCTCGCCATGTATGACCCTGAAGCGTAAAGAGTGGCAACATTTTCACGGATTGAGGGCGGGTGGTTTTCAAAATGTGGCTCTCGCCTCAGCGCCGCGCACATTCGTTTCACAAGTTTGCAAGAATTGTGCGGATTGAGAGCGGGTGGTTTTCAAAGTGTGGCTCTCGCCATAGGGCCGCGCACATTCGTTCTAACCAATTGCCAGAGTGTGTCAGATTGAAGGCGGGTGGTTTTCAACATGTGGCTCTCGCCATAGCGCCGCGCACATTCGCTTACCACGTTTGAAAGAACTTCACAGATTGAGGGAGGGTGATGTTCAACATGTGGCTCTCCCTTTAGCGCCGCGTGCATTCACTGAACACATGTGCAAAAAACACACGGGTTTAGGGCGGGTGGTTTTCTCAAAACGTGGCTCTCGCCTGAGCGCCGCGCACGTTTGTTTTAAACTTTGCCAGGGTTTCACGGATTCCCATGATCAACGACATGGTCCTTTGGAGAGATTATGGGTTATGACGGTGCCACACTTACGCTGGTTCGCGGTTTTGAAATCCAAGCAATGGCGTGCTGGAGCGATTCAGTATCGTCAAAACGCAACAGCCAGGTTGATCGGTGGCGATGGATCCGTGGCATGATTCAAGATCTTCAGGCGGTTGTCTTCCAACGAGGCAGATCCTTCAGTGGAAATGAACCGTTGTAGGGGCCTGTGAAGAGGGAGCTTGGAGGGAGTGTTTATTCCAACATCGTTGATGACACTTGGATGTACACTGGTCCTCCTCCTCCTCCTCCTCCTCCTCCTCCGCTTCCTCCTCCTCCTCCTCCTCCTCCTCCGCTTCCTCCTCCTCCTCCTCCTCCTCCCCTCCTCCGCCCCGCACAGCAGGCCCGATCACCGTCCTCCTCCAGACCCCCTTGCGTCGTCGACAGTCGGGGGCGTCCAAGAGGGGGACGTCCAAGAGACAGGGGGGTTCGCAGATCGTGGCCCGAGGCATGCGGGCGGCTCGGGGGGGGGGCAGGAGACGAATTGAAAGAGGACTAGGGGGCCATGATCTCTGGGAGATCTCGTGGCCCCCGCCATGATCTTCCCCCCCCTTCTGATCGGTGGGGCGACAAATGGGGGGAGCCACGTGCATCTTTCGTGCCCCCTCTGGTCCCCAGGGGGCTTTAGACAGTACGTACACCTCTCTTCGCCCCTCTCATCCATCGCCCTCCCCGTTACGCAACGCCCGACTCGGCCTTCTGGGGGCCCTCGCTGGGCCCAGGGACTGTCACCAACACCACTCGGGATGAAGCGCCGGTCCCAGGAATGGGTCGAGACCTGCGGGGGTCGAAAATAAGAAAAAACAACAATTATCCCGGCAAAGCAACCTAACAGCGATGTGTAGGAGCATATCTGGAAGCATTCCCCTTAAGATTCAGATGAGAATCCAGTTGTAGAATTGTGCTGTTCTCGCAGTCGTAGTCGCATTCGCGATGACAGTCGCAGTGGCAACGGCAGTCACAGACACAGCCTCAGCCTCAGCCTGCCTCAGCCTCAGCCTCAGCCTGCCTCAGCCTCAGCCTGCCTCAGCCTCAGCCTCAGCCTGCTTCAGCCTCAGCCTCAGTCTGCCTTCAGCCTCGGCGTCAGCCTCAGCTGCCTCAGCCTCAGCCTGCATCAGCCTCAGCCTCAGCCTCAGCCTGCCTCAGCATCAGCCTGCCTCAGCCTCAGCCTCAGCCTGCCTCAGCATTCAAAATGTGGCCCGGGAATGGAGTTCTGGGAACTCGAAGAACACGAAGTGGCCTACAGTTGGCTCCGGGCATTCAAAATCTGGCCCAGGAATGGAGTTCTGGGAACTCGAAGACACGAAGTGGCCTACAGTTGGCTCCGGGCATTCAAAATGTGGCCCGGGAATGGAGTTCTGGGAACTCGAAGACCACGAAGTGGCCTACAGTTGGCTCCGGGCATTCAAAATGTGGCCCGGGAATGGAGTTCTGGGAACTCGAAGAGCACGAAGTGGCCTACAGTTGGCTCCGGGCATTCAAAATGTGGCCCGGGAATGGAGTTCTGGGAACTCGAAGAGCACGAAGTGGCCTACAGTTGGCTCCGGGCATTCAAAATGTGGCCCGGGAATGGAGTTCTGGGAAGTCGAAGAGCACGAAGTGGCCTACAGTTGGCTCTGAATGTGCCCGGGAAAACACGAAGTGTGTGACTGTTGGCTTAAAACGACTTCTGCGGCACCCTGTCCGGCACCCGCCCAGACCCCCCTGTGGAGTCATCTGCTGCTCTCTTTTGACACCACTAGAAACCTATCAGAACAAGCTGTTAGGTAAAAATCATGCTGGCGGGGGTCTGGGGGTCCTCCTCACTCTCCCCCCCCGTCTCCGACGACTTGTTTGTTTCCGGGCCGCTCCGGGGCGCGGGGGCCGTCAAGAACGGATACGCGGCGCCGCGGCGGAGAACCGGCTCCAGGGAAGAGGGGTTTGGGCCTCTGGGGCCACCGATTGAAGCACAAACTCATCGGCTCATGTCATAGCCCTTCTCCTCCCACCTAATCCTCCTCGTACCACCCCGGTGTTCTGCTCCTTGTGCCTCTTACCTTCTGACTCCTCCTCCTCCTCCTCCTCCTCCTCCTCCTTCCCCCTCCCAACCCCCTCATCCTTCCTCCGCCGCATCGTCCCCCCCCCCGCTCAGCCTCCAATTCCTCCTGCTCCTGCTCCTGCTCCTGCTCCTCCTCCTCCTCCTCCTCCTCCTCCTCCTCGTCCTCCTACTACTCCTCCTCTCCCCCAACTCCCCTCAGGCAGTATCCTCCTCCTCCTCCTCATACCTCCCACGTCGCACTTCACCCAGATCCATCGTCATCAATGTAATCCCCCTCTCCTCCTCCCAGTTACTCCCTCCCTCTTCCTTGAATATTGCCCTCCTATCCATCTTCACGTGCTCCTTCGTCACTCCATTCTCAATATTTCCATGCACTCTCTCCACCGCGGGGACGTGGCAAGGTTCAGTTCAATTCAGCCTGCGTGCGAACTCTTCCTCGGCGAGGTAGCCAGGGCTCAAGGATACTACGGAGGACGAGGAGGCAAAGCGCATCCATCCCAAAACCAATGCCTTCCAAAGTCGTGCGCGCATCAATGCTACTTTCGTCGCCTGCACAACACACAACATAACACGTGTACATCTAATACATGCCTCACGGAATGGTTTGTGGGACCAACGGGTGGATTGCAACGGAATGAGGAAAGAAACAACATATGCAACGGTCCAGCTTAGTATGGGTCAGTGTAAGGGCGGGGCAAATATGGAAGAGGACACAGCTGGTTCGAGGGGGTGATCCAGGTAGAGAATACCATACGCCTCTGCGCATGCAGACTGGCCGATACTGCGATGGACACGCAAACGCCCGCGAGCTCCATGTGAGGATCGTCGGTGGGATTTTGACGATCCTGTTTTACCTCCAGGGCCTCACCACCTTGTGGACAATCCCGGAGCTCGCACCGTAGAGCGGGGTCGGGGCACCAGCTGCGCATGAGCAGCCGTTCCCACAACCAGGAGCCGAGCTGGGCGTTACCCGCATGCGACTACGCCCTGGCTTAGCTTGCCCCAGACGAGTCCGCAGATCTTGCCCAGCGACAGGGGGCCCGCGTACATCTGGCCCGTCAGGCAGTTGCGCTTGCCGTACGTGCACGCAAACGCCAGGTTCTCGAGCAGCGTGCCTCGGCGCGGCGGTCTCTGGGGGGTCTCTGGAGGCCCTCGGAGGCCTCCAGAGGCTGTATGTACATATACATTGGCACGGCCCGCTGGCCCAAGTACCCTGAGCCACCATTGGCATGCTGGCGTGTTCAAGGTGGGGCCGACCCAATATATGATCAAGGGCTGCCCCACCCCCAATGCATGTGGGATCGACCCCCCCCCGCTGAATGGGTACGCCCGCGAGCGTCGAGGAGGCCTCGCGAAAGGGATCGCTTCCCCACCACCTCTGTCATCGTGGCCCTGTGGGCGTGGCGTGGTGGGTACCAATACCCCTCCCCCCTCTCCTTTTTTGTGTGTGGGGTGCTCGTCGTCGTCGCGTCGTCGCGTCGTCGCTTTCCACCGGCGTTGACGTCGGCGTCGTCGGCGTCGTCGTCTTCGTCGTCGTCGTCGGCGTCGGCGTCGGCGTCGGCGTCTGCGTCGCCGTCGCCGTCGACGGCGCCGGATTCATTCTCGTCGTCGTCGGCGTCGGCGTCGGCATCGGCGGTGTCGTTCACGTCGTCGTCGTCGGCGTGTTCGCTCAAGTGTGCAATTACGTAGATCATTCATCTTGCGCCAATTAGGAATTTCAGAGATGCAGCAATCGAGTAACGTAGATCATGCTACTATCTAGAGCAATTTGAATAATTAGAATAAGTCTGATCTTTACGGGTACCGAGGGCAACACGTAGTGCTGCATAGGAGAAGCAGGTTAAATTCGACAGGTGCTGTTTCATGAGGGTGGTTAAATATGTGTTATATACAATGAATTCGTATCATATTCATTAAACATGAACCAAATTAACCGTTATGGTATTCATGATTACATGAACTAGTACACGTTACATTGAGATATATATATATATGTAAATACATGTGAAACCTGACAATCGTATATTTACGTAGCTCTAGATTTAGCTCTCCCCATGTGCCGGATATTGTAACATAGTAATCGAATTCATCACGCCCTGTTTAAACGGTATTGCGAATATGGCACCGATTGGTTACCACATATATATATATGTATAAATGATTGTGTATATATACACCTACATACATATACACGGCTGCCTCTGCACTTACGGATAAAAAAAATCGCGGAACTCTGAATGAACCCGCGCCAAGACGCCGATCTTTGAACAGTGCACACCGACAGCCACCTTACCGCTTACACGGGGATTTCTACAAGCCAAACTGGGCGGGTCGCTGGTCGACCTCGGGCGGGTCGCGGGTGGGTCGCGGGGGGTCGCGGCTGGGCCACCAGAGGTTCGAATGTCGGTCGCGGGTGGGTTGCGGGCGGATCGAGGGCGGGTGGCGGGCGGGTCGCGGGTGGGTCGCGCACGGTTTGTGGAAGGGCTGTTGCCGACGACGACGACAACCACCAACAACAAACAAACACATCAATCATCCGCACAGCGGACATTCACCGCAGGCACGCACGCAAGGATGGTGTCAGAGCGCTCGGCCCACGCTCTAACACATACATATATGTATATGTATGCAAATATGGATATACACAAATCTGCACGTGCATCGGCATGTCTATATACGCACACGCACACACTTATATTTACAAGTGGCACGTGCATGCCCAAGACCGATGAATAGGCGACTTGGGGCCGCCAACGAGGCTGCCGCAGGTTGCGATTGAACGGAGCGTCGAGAAATACTCTTGTGGGCATACAAAACAAAGATCGAACGCAACTTCGCGAGGGCGCCAAAGTCTTTCTCTAACATTCTAGGCGTCACAAAGCGCGTCGTTATACTTTCAAATTCCCCAATTCCAAATCGAGAAGCAAGTGGCACATGAACACTACATGCTTGTCAAGTGATTGGCGCGTCATGCGCGCCACTCGTGCGCTCGCCACGCATGAACTACATGCGCGCCATGCGTGTCCTAATTGCCCGACTGAGACTGCAATGCGCGATTGCACCGCGACCGGGCGCGCGGCTGACGCGACGCTTCGCCGCGTCGATCACTACTGGAAGCCAAGAAACTATCAGAAACTGCATTGGTTGTCGAGCTCCTTTACTTCGGAGCGCCCTGGCGTTCGCGACTCGGCGCCAACTGCGTTTTCTATTTCAGGTCGAACCTCGAGCTCAACTTATTGGGCTCGCGCCCAGACGCCCCCGCAACAAGGGCAACAACTCCTCCGCTCGATGATTCCTTGCTTCGGATTCGCGACGGCCCTCAACGAAGACCATCGCTGCCGCTGAAGATTTCCTCGCCTTGTCAACCCAAATGGGCCCGCTTGCCATCCCGCCGGCCGCAACGACGTTCCCGCGTAATCTGTCACTCACGACCAGCAGTTTTGCTCGCGGCCAACGAGCGGCCCCGCTCGACACTTCATCCCTCTTGCCTTCCCAACAGGCGGCGCGCCTTCCTTGGGTCCGCAGACGCGCCCCCCCGCCGCTCAAGACTTCTCGCTTTCCACGCGAGACTGGCGCCCTGGCTCGCCGCCGACAACCGACTCCCAGACGGGGCCAGCGCCCCCGGTCAATGATCTCCCGGTTTTCCACGCAGAGACCGGGTCAATCAATGCCGCCCTGCACGGGCGAATCGCCGATGGGGCCCGCCACGCGGGGGCGCGCATCGGCGGCGCTGGCGCTCGGCGCCGGCGCCGGGCCGCCCGCGGGGGGGGCGGGGCGACTGGCGCAGCGGCGCGCCCGCTGCAGCGGGGCGGCCAAGCTACAATGGCCACAGACTGAAGCGAAGGCGGGGCGGGGGCGGCCGGCGATGAGACCGCCCCCCGCCACCGCAGCCGCCTCGCCCCTCGAGTCGAGGGCCCCCTCGCGCCCGCGGCCTGAAGCCCGCGGCGCGCTGACTAGGGCGCCCCCCCCTCTCCCCCCCAACCCCTGCCCCGCATCGGCATTTCCCCCGCGAGGCAGGGGGCCGGCTCGCGGTCGCCCCCCCGCGCCACCACCAGGCAGCCATGTAACGGACCGCCCGGCAGGCGCGGGGCGAGGCCTCGAGCCCCCGGAACGAGCGCGGGACGCAACGGCGCTACGTCGCCGCGAATCGCCCACGCGCCGAAAATCAAGCCGCGGCGGCGACCGCGGGGGGGCGCGAGACCCCGATGAGCCAACGAAGCCGGGAACCTGAGATTAAGAAGGACAAAGTCAACCCACCCGCAGGCTCCGAGCGGCGCCCGCTGCAGGTCCAACGGAAGAGCTAGACCGCTTGCCCTTCAGACGACGCGCGAATTCGCACGCGAGGCGCAGACGCATGCACTGCGCCACGCTGCGCGGGATTGCCCCCCGCTCGGGAGCGGCGCGGCGCGCGCGCCGCTCGCCCTCGCCCGCGGCGCGGTCGCGCGCCGAACTTCGGCGAGCGCGATGCAATCACTGCGTTCGCGCCCCGCGGGGTTCATTCATTAAGCCTGGGGGGTCAACGGTTACCGGCGAGCTGACAGTGACCGGCGGAAGAGGCCTCGTCTCGGCATCGTCGCTGGAGGGCCCCCGGGGCCCTCGGGGGGGGCCCGAGGAGGCCCCAGCGGAAGAGCCGCACGGGCCCCGAAGAGGCGCGGGCCTTCGCGCGCGGTCGCCAACGTTCGAGCCAGCCCCGCGCTGGGCAACGGCGCCGGCCAAGTCCGCACCGGCCCTGCCGCCCGCCATCTCGCCAATTCCCGAATGTCCACTCGCTGGTCCCAAAATTTAACCAGGCGCCGCCCGGCGGGGTGCTCGATGGGGCCCCTTAGAGTCTCGCAGGGGCACGAGAAGCTCTTTTCCTCGCGCGCGAGCGTCGCGCGCGCCGCCCGCGCAAAGGGCGAGCCCCTGTCGCGGCTCTCTAGGCTACTGCGCGCTTATAGATCCGCGGGGAGGAGCGCGCGAGGCGCTGGCCGAAAGCTCTCGCGTCGCGCGCCGCGGCGTCGGATTTTGGGCAGCTGAGATCGTCTCCGTCGGGCATCGAAGAGGGCGAAAGATAACGAGTTAACCTAGGATGGGCATAGAGTTTTCCGAGGCACGCCTCTGAACACCACGATACAATACTGTGAAACTCCGCCGACGCGGCGGCCTTAAGCCAAGAGGCTGCGGTCAGATCCAAGGGACACATAGGGAGGAGGGGAGTGGGGATACGACCACAACGGGACTACTTTCAGTGGATCTGACAGCGGCCCGAAACTCCTGCCCTCCTCCGCACCCCTCCCGCCTACCCCAGCCTGATCCCCGACCCAGTAGCCGTCTCCCGGCTGGTTCAGAGCCTGACGGGAGGAGGCGCGCGAGCGGCACTTCAAATCATTATTGAGAGCTCTTTCATTCATATGTCCCTCCTCATCCACGAGCACGATCGAACCCCGACTGAGAAGATCTGAGAGAGCCACATTCCCTCGGGCAGGGTCTGCCTTCGTAAGGCAATCTGCAGCCATGCGACCATGAGGGGCCCATCGAATCTGAGAGCCGATAGCTGAGAGACTGTCACGCACGACGGCAAGCTCAATCGCCGTTCTCCTGTCCTGACGGGAGCCCGCACTGTTGCGAGACAAAGTGTCGAAGATCGACTTTGCATCAACGACTGAAAGCGAACTCACTCCCTCAGACAAAGTACAGTCCCTGCTCAGCACAACAGAGAAGGGAGCCTGCGAGAGGTGCCTGTCGGGCTTGCACACATCATTGAAAAGCAAGTCTCGCCACATGATGGCGAGCCACTGGCCCTCGGCCAGCGCAGCACTCAAACTCAAAGTCTCTGCGGCCCCCGTGGAGGCGACTACACGCTTCAGCCTAACAGAACGCCAAGAGAGCAAAGAGACCCGGGACCTCACATTTTGCCGAATCGACGCATCAGCCGCACACACGAGCCATCCCCCCTGGGCCCCATTTCTTCGAGCGGACCCGGGGCCGCCAGCATCGGAAATAGTCACGAAATTCAAAGAAGCGGCATCCAGGGGCCAAATCGTAATCTTTTGGCACGCCGAACTCTTGAGATGCTTAACTATTTTCAAACACAAGATGGCGTCCGCCACCGCGGGGTTCGGCAACGCGGCACTCT